GAATTTATTTAGCTCATCCTACATGGCCTTAATCCGGTTAGCTTCTTCCAAGACATCAACAATATTATTTGGTTCGATCATTGAGAAGAAGTTTACAAACATGAAAAAGTTGCTACTGACTCTGTTGCGAGTGAGAATCCCAAAATTTACATCTCCAATGATTTGAGATTCAGGATGATCTCAAAGGATTATTGGATTAGAACTTTCATTTGTATTGCTATGGGTAGAGAATTCCTGGTTTGATGATTTAGCTTCTTTAGGAACAACAAGCTGATCTTCAGAGATAGGTTGAGAACTGATTAACTGATCAACATTAGGAACAACAAGATGAACGTCATTTGACAAGTGCTCAAGAATAGGTTCTGAAGGACTGTAAGCACGAGAGAAGAAACAACGATGAAGAAACAACGATGCCTTTTGTGCCACAACCAATTTAGATGAGACTGAGCATGAGAGAAGAAACAACGATGAAGATAGTTGTCAGCAGAAAACATATCTAGAACTTAGATGTAGTTTTGTCGATTTAAAGTAAGAACAGTGATGCTTTTTTGGTCAACAAATTGTCCTTCACTCTTGCTAAAATGAACTTAATAGTCAACGTCACACAATTGACTGATAGAAATGAGATTATGCTAAAGACTTTTCACATAAGAGACATTCTTGAATACAACAAAATTGCACTTGATGGATCCATATCCTTTGTTGCTCTGTTGCCATTATCTCCATATGTAACAGACGGACCATCCTTCTTTATGAAATATTCTAGGAGAGAATTTAATCATGTCATATGTCTTGAGTAACTGATGTCTAAATACCAAATATGCCCTTTACCTTGAAACTAAGATGTACAGTAAGTCTAAAAAAATATACAATAAATATACACTGGCATAGTTGCAAAGGACCACTAAGAAAAGATGATATAACAATCATTAGAAAGACAGTTCAATGAGTTTCCCTTTTGATCCACTTATCATTTCGAGTCATGAGATTATCAACACGAACGATGTTCTTTTCAAAAGTGCACACGCCGACTTTGTGAGAGGCATCACCATATCCATAACAAAATTTAATTCCAGGATTCTTTCCTTTAATATTAGATTTTGATTTCATTTCAACTGCTAAATCTAAAGGAATTTTATAATTTGTCTTAAGAGTTCTTGATTTTGTTCTGGAAAAAGGAATGTTATCAATGGTATGATCACATACCACCTTATCATGAGATTCATCATCCTTTGAAGGGTTATCAAGAGTAGAAGGCTTTAATCGATCTTCAGGTTACTAACTAAGCACTGATGAAAAATGCTAAGAATTTTGTTTACAGAATGAACTTCACCATTACATATAGGAACCTTTATCGAAATCTTAGTGGAGGGAAGAACATACTCACGATGAGAAGGGTGGAGAGAAGCATCAGGAGCAGATAATTTAGAAACACATTTAGTAATGCCATTAGAATCAGTAGAGCAGTGAGTATTGATTAAAATTTTATTTATAAAATAAGAAGTCACATAGTCTTTTTTTAAGCAGTTAACATTATAAAAGGTTTGCTTCGATTTAACTTTGGTTAAAGAAACAACAACTTATATATCATCTCCAAGAATTTTCTTACACCGATCTGGAATCTGAGCATTAATGATTGTTGTTACAATAAAGTGAGAGGATGCCCAGTAATTCAAAATAAGTTAAGTGGGATTAGCATGAACAACAACTTTTTCTTTTTCAGTGTAAAGAAAATTATTGGTTAGCAAGATACAAGGTATTTTTTTTATTTTTTATTTTTTATTTTTTATAACAAAAATAGATTTTTTCTAGAGAGGAGAGTTTTTCTTTGATAATCTGTAGCTTATGACTGAGAGAAGATTTTTCTTTATTTGAGATCAATAAACTAAAATTTGTAGTGGTGTTTATTATGATGACATGTGCAGAATCGATTAGATGTAGTGAATCATCATATGGATCATGAACACATGGAGGAAATAAATCTGGTTTAATCTCTCATTAGATCTAGAAAGAAAATAAAAAGTGGGCCTTGTAGAATTCTCTCTCAAGTCTAACACTCCAAAATGAACATTACATAAAATGAGTGTTACTCACTTCCTTATAAAGGAAAGAAAACTCATTACACAATAAAAGAGGGTTAGCACTAACTACATCCAAGCGTGACTTTGCACCCTAACATTCTCCCTCTCAAAGTTGGGATTGGATGTCTTGGCTTCAATATACAAAGAGCTCGCGCGAGCAAGACAAACTCCTCCTCGAAGTAATACTGATATTCAAATCCGCAAATGAATACTTGAGAAGCTTCGAATACCCACTCTTGATTCTCCCCATTTTTATAATAAAAAAATGATTATAAAACTCATTAAGGGTGAGAAACGCCCAATGAATAATCTTCACATAACTCCCCCTTGACGTGTGCCAAAAATAAAACCTTGAAAAACTTTCATGGAAAAACAATCACGGCAAAGTCACGAAAAATTTCCAAATTTATGAAATTTTTTTACTTTTGGGTAAAAACTGCCACTTTCAGAATTCTGTAGGCACCCATTGTGCCAAAAACAGTCTAAGATGTAAAACACTCCCCCAATTGCGAAATTGGGTATAAAGCTTTAATTCGCGTTAACTACAGCGGCCTAAAATGTAAATAGCACCATTTCTCCGAATTTTTAGTCCTATTTCGAAGTTGGGTAGTTTCAGCCAACATGTCGAAACTACAGGGAATAAAAGCAAACGTCTTCACACTTCATAAAATATTGGCATCATTTCGAATTTAGGTAAACAATGTTAATTCGTTGAAAGAATAAGGGTCATATTCAAAAATATTGTTATCTTCCCAAATTCATTAGTAGAACATATCCAACAACTATTGATTTTCAGTCTCAAGATTCTTTGATAATGAACCATGTATGGTCCTTATAAAAAAGCATGTACTAGTCCTCGACAATGAAGCACCGACCTTATGACCATCGACATCGACTCCAAAATCAACCCTTCGCTTTTAAGCAAGCAAACACAATCTTGGCATAAAACTCACTATACCCAAATTGAATTCCCAAATACACGACCTTTGCTTTTAGAGTTCAATCCAAATTGACTCACAACCCTTTGATGTTCGATTAATTGACCCAAGCCTTCGAAATCCAATCAACCAACCTCAACCTCATGTCGATTTTAATACCCATCGTTATCAACCACTCGTAACAAAACCACTCGATATCAAAATTTTATAAAAGACCTCATCATCGATTCCAAATCTTCGAAATTGATCTTAAGAATATCGACATCAAAATCGACCATCACACCAAAATTATCCTTTGATTCACAATCCTTCAACCCTCAAACCTGGTATCATTAAAGGACCCTCGTTGCCAGGTAAAAACCTTTGAACCTTGATTCCATTTGAGAACCTTCGAACATGATAGCAGGTAATAAACCGGATTTTGATTGTTCTATCTCATTCGAGTCGTTATCAATACAACCTTCGACTATCCAATCCTTCAGCTTTCGAGTATCAAACCAACATCACAACATCATAAATCGAATTCCTTCTACAAAATGATAATCGAACATTCCATTTAATTTTGACTTTTGAGTTGACTCTTCGATTGAAGCATTACCACTTCAATAATTATCCCAAAACACTTTGAAAATCACTTTTAATTTGATTCTGACCATCTAACATTGAAATCGATTTCAATTCCTAAACTGACTTCGATTTTGACTTCTCAGTAACTCGTTTGACTTTCAACTACGAGGCTTTTGATACAAACGATCAACGAATATCAATAAAATCACCATCGATTGAGACTTAATCAACAAATATTATCATAAGCGAGTTTGATTTTAGGTTGTATGACTCAAGCCAAGTTCAATTTTAGTCAAAAATTGATTCCATACAAGTTAAAATCAAAGAAACTTCATTGATTTTTATCATTAACTAAATCGACTCCAAACACGTGATTTCAAGCCAACATACTTTGATTATCGAGAAACAAGACTTTTAATTCCAGTGAGTAACAATTAGACTTCGATCGATTGAAAGAAATAATATTCTCTACTGATGAACAAGAAAGAAATAAGAAAAAAAAATTTGGATTTCGATGTGGCCTTAACAAGATGAACAATAATGAACACGAACATGATTATGAGTTTGGGCTAATTTTGAATGGATGAAGAGTAATCAGATCATTTGAATTGTTTGAGCTCAAAAATTAATTGAATCAAATTTGATGTTTAGGCTTGATCTGAAAAAAATATTGGATCAATAATTGGTATTGAAATGGATTAGATCCAATGAGTCAAGACGATCGAAAATGAAAAATGCAAAGAACGAAGAGAAATCATGAACATTATGGAATACATTTGAGAATTTGAGATACCTTTTTGATTATCCGAGTTCCATTTTAAATGAACGAATCAAATTTTGAAGATCTTGGTTCTTTTGTTGGAACAAGAAAATCTCCAATTTGAATATTGTACCACTCATGATGTGTGTTGTGCAACTCATTCTTCAATGATCTAAGAACATATTCATAAGAACCATCAACACGTTTGGGTTTTGACTTCAAATTCAATGTAACATGTGGAGATTGTTGCTTTGGAACACAAAATTGCCTAATGAATTTTGGCTTCACAACAAAATTTGACGATTTTTGTGAATAAACCCGCTTATTCTTATTTTTAATCTTCTTCTTCTTTTTCTTTTTCATCTTCTTGGAACTTGAAGATTTAAATTCATGAACAAACCCATTTTCTACAACTTCAACTTGAAAATTTTGGATCATATCTTTTGGAGATTGATATTTGTGAATTTCTTGGATTAACGGCCTTCGATAAGGAATCATTCCTTCAAATGAATCACAAGAACACAAAATATCATCGGTTTGAACTCCAATCGAGAAAAAAACGTTTTCATCTTCATGAGAATCAAATTGAATCTTCTTGTCATGAACTTCAAGAACATCAAGAACATCATACTGAACTCCATAATCTTGAACTTTAACATACTTAAGAGAATGAAGATAACTTGGGTTTTCAACTAGAGAAATGTATTTCTTTTTAAAAAGATCTCTTTCTTCTCCGTACTTTTTATTTTATCTCAAAGATAACATGTTCATGGAAATTTCAACCAAGCATCCAATCTTTGAAAGTTGTTGAAATATAAATCTTCCATGATCATCCTTCAAATCTCCGTAGGAAACCATAGTACCCCATGAAATCAAGCCACTTTTCAACAATAATCCCTAGAATTGATTTTCATTGACTTTGTGTTTCACATCTTTAATGATCACAACCCAAGAATCATAATGAAAGTACACCATTTTTTATCAATCAACAACATCTTGAGTTTTTCTAGAGCGAGAAAGTGATTTTGAATGGATTTTCTAGAGAGAGAAAGCAAAAATCATTTGAATTCTAGTGAAGAAAATTGAATTACGATTTGAATCAAAGATGAATTTGATTTCTAGAATCCAACAACTCTCTAAAACATGAAGATCAAAAATCAAATGAAGAATCACCAAATCTAGAATGTCATCATGGATCAATTCTTGATCAAATCAAGAACATCCGCTCTAATAGAAATTGTAGTGATGTTGCTTATGAAGACATATGCGGAATTGATTAGAAATAGTGAATCATCATACAAATCATGAGCATGAGGAGTAAATAAATTTGGTTCAAACTCTCATTGGATCTAGAAAGAAAATACAAATTGGGTATTGTACAATTCGCTCTCTAGTCTAACACTCCAAAATGAACATTACATAAAATGAGTGCCACTAATTTGCTTATAAAAGAAATATAACTTATTAAACCATAGAAGAGGGTAAGAACTAACTACATCAAAGGGTGACTTTGAACCCTAACATTCTCCCCCTTCAAGTTAGGATTGGATGTCCGACTTCAATATCCAACGATCTCGCGCGATCAAGACCAACTCCCCCTCGAAGTAATACACATCTTCAAATCGGTTAATAAATACCTGAGAAGCTTCGAATATCCACTCTTCAAAATGTAAGAGATCGATCATGTCATCTTTTTCGATATTATCAATAGAGGAAAGATTAACATGATTTTTTACCTGATACACTGACGCATCGTCCCATTCTGACTTAAGGTCTTTAGCAGTGTGAAGAGAATCAACGTCAAGGATCCCAATGTTGTCATGAGAAGTGTCAGTGTGAGATTCAATAATTAGAGCCATGATACACTTGAATTTGTCTGAAGGGTTTTCCTTTCCAAAAGCAAATGATAGAGTGGTCGTCATCTCTTGAGAACTTGAGCAGTTTTGGACCAAAGGATAGACGGAAAAAGGGAGAGAGTTTCCAATAGCATTTCTAGCCTTTACGTTGAGATTCAACATCCTTTTCTCTTCTTTGTTATAACCGAGAACATACTTTCCTTTTAGCTTACTGCTAGATGCACCAAAATTGGATGATTTATGCATATCATCTATAGGACCTTTGTTGAAGACGTCATACATATATAAATCCATGAACTCTAGAACTTCCATGGCTTTTGATTTCCAATAAGGGAAATTGTGTTTTGTCAAACGGAGGGATCTGGTTACAGACAGTTGACTTTGGAATGAAAGAAGTCGACATGATTACTTAAGTGTATCAAAAACCTACTCTGATACGAATTGAATGTTTGTATTGATTGGATACACTTCAAGTATGAATAACAAACGTAAAACTAATCTAAGCAAAATAATAAACATAAATTAAAAGACACAAAAGTTCTCCAAATTGTTCTTTCACAATGAAAGAGCTTTTTCTTCACCAAGTAGACGGGTTTGTCACAAAGACGATTGACACAAATCCACGATCACAACATTAGGGTTTGCGCTAATGTTGTATATGTACTAATATATACATTTATATCCCTTGATTGAAGGGATTGCGTCTAATCTATACTAAGAACCAATCTTATCACAAAGATACCAGGTTTGTGATCTATTTTATACTTATCTATATCATTACCTAATATACAAAGATATCTTCCTAATATACAAAGTATTTCAATCGGATAACTAAACTATAAGTTGACGCTGATAAGCTTGATGTGTTGGCGTTGTAGATGTTGTAGATGCTGACGTGGATAGAACAGTGTTTCATGCGTTTGAATCATCAGATCATAAGGTGTGACCTTACAAAAAGGATGTCTTGTAGTAAGTTGGGCTTATTCCAGCTAGTGTGTTGGCTGTAGTAGGATGAAGGGGACACATTGTTAGGGTGTTATGCTACGCATAAATTATGGTTGCTAAGCATACCGCCACAGTGTTAAAACCCTAATTTCATGGTTTTGAGCCCTATTTAAGGACTCTAACCCCTTGAGCTCCTTCCTAACACTGTCCACCACCCTCTTGAGCCTCCAACTCGAAACCCTATCCCCTATAGCAAATCTCGAGCCTTTTTATGTGTCTTGGGTTCATTTTGGATGAAAGAGAAGTCCAAGCTTGTTGATTGTTGAAGCTCAAGCTTGTGGATCCAGAGCCTACATTGCTTTTCTCAACTCGGGAAGGCGTAAAGCTTGACCTTTGATGTTGTGTTTGTAGAATCTAGTTAGTTTTGCTTTTATCATCTTTTTGGTCCCATAATCCTAGTATTCATGAATATGGGTTACTCTAATCCAAATGAGTTGTCCTTTCAGACATTTTCGGGTGCTTTGAGTCATAAAAATATGATCTTGTCCCTTTCTTCCCTCCATGTAAGAGTTATGATGCTTTGGTTTGTGAATTAAGTTATGGTTTTGGTGGGTGGACTCCTTCTAGCCATGGAAAGTCATAAAGTTGGAAATTTTATGACTTCGAATATTATTTAGGACGAGATTTGAGCTTTAGACGTGAAATCTTAATGAAATAAGCACTTAATGAAGGAAAATGGAACTAGTTGAGTATGTTGGGCGTACCTGGTAGTACATGGAGTGTACCAGGCTGGAGCCCATAACCAAGAAGTGATATACTACATTGATCGTAGTAACTAAGTACGTTGAGCATACTCCGTTTGTGTTGACCTCATTTGACTTTTTGACCTTGATTTTGACGAAGAATTTGATAAAGTTTGACTTAGGGGAATTTTGGGTATTTTGCGATTAGGTCACTATTTGTTGTATAGGTGACTTGTAGAGTTCTCATTTGGAGCAACATTTTGTTATACTATCTTTTAGACTGTGAGGTGAGTTTTCCTCACTATAATTATGGGTCGAAGGCACCAATGTTGGCCCCTGGATTATATATCCTGGGATATTAGATTGATGTTATGCTAGTTATATGATCAACTGGTAGATCTGTATGATTACATGTGTTCACTGAGTATGTGTTAGATTGGTAGATCTCTATGATTACATGTGTTCACTAAGTATGTGTTAGACTCGTAGATCAGTATGATTACTTGTACTTGTTGGTTATTGATTGTAATTGTATATTGTGGGCCAGCATTGGTGCCTTCGACCCATAGTATAGTGAGGAGACTCACCTCGACAGCTAAACCCACACATAAATCTCTGACTACGGATATGCTAAAATCCTCGTGCTATCAAACATGAATAACATTCAGTTAACATTTAGGGGCTGTTTGTTTTTTGTGTGAAGATCTGCGCAACCACTTTTTTCTGCGTCGCGCAGACAACGCGCAGACGTATGCCCTCGCAGATTGTTTGTTTTTTGGAAGTGTGCAGATCAGAAAACGTCTGCACGAGGTCTTCCTGGCGCAGACATGGGCCACTGTCTTCAAAGGTCTTCAGACCTTATTTTAACCTAAACCAAAAAAAAAAAAAAATGGCCATCGTGCAATGTTTTTTTTCATTTTTTTGTTAAAAATGCATTTTTAATGTTTATAACATGAAATTAAGTTTAAAAATTTAATTTATTTTAACGGCCTGCAGACGTTAAAAACAAACAGTCTTCTTATTGCAGACTGCAGACATTTGGTCCATCTCTTCTGCCGCAGAGGCTTGCAGATGTGGTCCGCAGACTGCAGACATTTTGACTTCAAAAAAACAAACAACACCTTAGGTTCTAGACTAAAACCAACAGTCCACAAATAGGGTAAACGGACCATTTTACCATTCACCTAGTTTGGTCCAAGACTAAGGCCCAAACTCACAGTAAAAAAGGCCCACAACAAATTAATCATCAAAAGCCCACTTCTGGTCCACTTATCCAAATTGGGCCCAAAACCTTACATGGGCCTTACCCTAAAGCCCATTAAGTTTTCCTTAATCTAAAACACTTGTTCTCAGATGGCCTAACAAAGCCGCTAGCAACCAAGCCCAAATGATAGCCCAAACCCAAAGCCTAAATATGTGAGGCTCAACAGACCGAGTGTGCATAGCGTACTCAACACTTACGCATAGTGTACTCGCTTGGAGGCTTGTATGCTAAGAGTACCTGCTTGTACGCCCAATGTACTCACCCTATTCAACCCAAACTTGATTCAATCACTTAATCCCTTAAGACAAAGGTCCAAAACATAGATCTAACTTCCTTGAGCTGGATTATCACGTAAAGTTGCCAACTTTACGTTCATGCATGGCTAATTGAAGCTCTTAAGTTTAAAAGGGACTTAATAATTGATGTAATGCATGCATGACACCAAAAATCACATAAAGCTTGCACCTTTATTCTCAAAGAGACGAAAACAAACTCAGATATAGAAGAACAAGCTCTTAAACGACTCAACCCATCCATTAACCCAAAAAGGAACCAAAAGCACAGAAAACTAACTATGAAGAGATCTAAACATATACAAGCCAAGATACAAACTTGATACCTCAGAAAGATTTCCACAATATGATCATTCTGGATCCAAAACCTTTTCACAAAGCAAAGCAACCTCAAGCTTCTCTACTTCCTTCACAAAGCCAAAAATAATCACCAAACTCTTTTTAATAGCTCAAGAACACCACAAAGAGGCTAAAGTGTCAATTTAGGGTTTTAGGAGCTTTGGGGGCTGGTAAAGAGGCTAGTCCCAAAGACTTAAGGAGTTTAAATAGGGAACACTTACTCAAAATTAGGGTTTTCCTTTACCCTTCGTATGCCCCACGTACTCTTCGTACGCCCAGTGTACGAGATCTCGCACACCTGATCTAACCTTGCAGTACGCTAAGCATACACTCCACTACGCCCCATGTAATTCCCTTGCATCATACCCCCCGTGTACTCCTTAGGTATGCCCCTCATTCTAGGATGTCCGCTCAAACCCTAACATACTCCGAAGCCCATAACATCTTTACAAATCTGATTTCAATAATCCTGATATCCATGAAAAGGTAACAAGAAGCTCTAAACTTTTATCAACTCATACTTACCATAAAATTTATAGAACAAAATCCAATTTCCATAAAATCCTGCTACCATTTTGGAAAAATACCGCTTGGCTCCAAAACCAAATCCGAATTCCCGAATCATCTACATTACATCACCTACACCGAAATGGGTAACGATTCAGATTAGGATATTACAACTGTCCCCCACTTAAATTATATTTCTTCCTCAAAATCATTACTTATCATTCCGACACACCATACAACTTGAACAACTCAATGACAACCCCAAAACATACCACAACCTTCCCAAAGGAAACAAAACCCAACCCTAGCAGAACTCTCCAAACCCAAAGAAGAATGAATATTTAATACCATACAGAAAACCACTTCTACCTTTTTGAAACATGCAATCTCAAATTGGTCTGACTCCCCGACAGACCACCCACACCGAACCCTTACCATGCCAAATTGTAATGCCCACAGATATGGACTAGTCAATTTAGAGACAATAAGTGTCAAGAATGACTTTTTGATAGAAGATTATTTAGAATAAATAATTTTAACTAAGTTGTAGTACATTTCACAAGGGTTCCGTACATATAAAGAATGTCGTTATCCGAGTTATAATGAAGAAGTTATGACACGTCGAAGTTTTACGACAAAACAGACATGACACCGTGTAACGTAAAAAGTAAATTTTTGATAAATTACTTTTTAATCTTAGCGATCTAAATGAAATTCATTGTATACGTTAAACCGAGAGTGTGCATAAAAAGAATGCCCAAATCTAACTTCATATGTGGAAGTTATGATGTTTCTAAGATTTGGCATAGCAGTGCACAACCCGAAATTCAAATTTTAGATCAATCGATTTTTCGCCGATGCAACCTAAATGAGAAATGAAGATCTCATTAATATGAGCTCAACGATAAAAAGACAGAATTAGCCAATAGAGTCAGAAGGAGACTTGTAGATCTTTCCAATACCTAGATCTAGATA